AGTTTTATCCATGTACAGGCCAAGATTTTTTTATGGAATCACAATATGGAATCAAAATTCCATTATAAATTACAGGAGAGAGATTTCCATAATCAACCTTAGCCAATAATTGCGAACTTCCGAATATGATAACTTTGCATTTGGAAGGATTAACAGAAACGCCATATTTACATGACCATTCTCTTATGGCTTCCAGGTTATCATTTAGTTTGCGTATTACAAAGTTAAGATTATTTAAGCTTGACTGTACATAAAGCTGGAGATCATCCGCATACAGATGGTACGAACAATCTAAAACTGAGGAGATAGAATTTATAAATAAGGAAAACATAATAGGAGAAAGTATTCCGCCTTGCGGCACACCAGATTCAATTTCAGCCCATGCAGAAAACCGCTGACCTGAGCGAACCGATTGCTGGCGACCGCGAATATAAGAAGAAAACCATTCCAAGACTGGGGATGAAAATTTAAGGTGTTTAAGGATGGATAGGAGGATACCATGATCCACTGTGTTGAAAGCGTTTGAAAAGTCAATAAGCACCACCACTGTTAATTTTTGCTCATCTAAGCCCTTTCTTATATCGTCTGTGACTTTGATAAGCGAAGTGGTAGTACTGTGACCTGAGCGAAACCCCGATTGAAATTCATTCAGCAGGTTATGTTTTGCAGCGAATACAGATATTTGCTTAAAAACACAGGCTTCCAGAACTTTAGAGAGGTATGGGAGAATTGAAATAGGACGAAAATGGTTAGGGAAAACAGGATTAGGTATATATATATATATATATATATATATATATATATATATATATATATATATATATATATATAGGAATGAATAAATTTTTCAATGAATAATCAAATGAGAAGATTCTGCACCTAGCCTCTGTAGACTCCGGACATGTCAGTTAAGGTCACTCCCGTCACTACACTTTCCTAGCCCATGCCTGCAACTAACTTAGTACCCAGTAAGTTAAGGGTTCTGTGTTTGGTGACTGTGTTAGTGCTTACTTTGTAGTGGGCGAAGCATGCTTTCCCGGGTGTAAGCAGTCTCATAGCCAAGTTTATCGGACGCTTGTTGTGATGTAAAGAGTGCTTCGTGCATAACTCTCCATCATGGCTTCCTGATTTTCGGCAAACCGTAAGAGGTGACCATCTATTTTAATTTTTGTTTTGGTTTTTGCATTAGGCAACAAGTAGGTACACACCCTAGCGTACCAACGCACTAGGTGTATAGGCGTTTATTTTAGACACATACATTTTGGATACACTAGGTTTGGTACTCATCTGTGCTAACATAAGCAAGATGGCGTCGTTTTCAAACGATGAACTCGCCGACTTCCTGCGTCAAGCATCCCCGACATTTGGTTTACGTTTTTAAGACGGATAAACAAACAGACAGAAAAACAACCTCTCTCCTCACTCCGCTGCCGTATCACCGGTTTCGTTCGCGTCGGTGAACAACCCTGCGTCCCCCGTGCCCTCCGCGCTGAAACCCAATTCTTGGGTAAAGCCTCCGGTACTAGTTGCCTCACGGTTACTGCCACCCCCCCAGGCGTCCAAACCCAAGCGTTTCACCAGTCCGTGTAATGTTTTTTTCTTACTGGATATTTACTTATTATTGGTCCTGCCAATAGGCCTCGCAAGCATTAATCAAATCTAGAGTGTATCTCTAGCAGAGCTCGAGCTGCGAAAGTAGCTTGAATCCAAAAATCTGAGGAGTAGACTTAGGCCCGATAGATTTTAGAGGCCAAGCATAACGCAGCTCAAAGGGTTGTCATGACCTTAGGTTAAAATCGAGCCCACCAACTTTTAGATGCCGTCACACGGCTCAAAGGGCTGCTGAGAGCTTAGGAAAGACTCGGCTCGGCAGGATTTAGGTGCCTGAACTGCCAGAAAATTTATATTTGCTAACATATTGCTCTCTTTTTCGAAGTATTTGACGGGTACACCGCTCACCCCTCCTCACTGCGTACACACTGTACACTGGCGTCCCTGGGCGGTTCTCACCACCCAGAACATCGAACGATAGGAGTTTAGCTGTCAGTTTAGACGGCCGTTAGATAGCTCATTTACGTGCACTTTTATTTGACGTAGGCGAACATCGTTACAATTCATTTACGTGCAGTTTTATTTGACGTAGGCGAACATCGTTACTCAAGTAACGATGCAGATCGATGCAGAATGCCTCTGTGCAGATGATGCAGAATGGACCTGTTAAAGCCAAAAGGCTAACAGCACAAACATCACAGAAACTAGAGGTATGCCTTAATAGACAAGACTCGTAGAATTACTGAACGACTGATCTCTGAATGACTAGTTTCTTTTAGTCACCTGCGTGGTACTGAATACTACTGGAACGAGTGGGATAGAGAGAGAAATAACCACCTGATATCTCTTTTGTCGTGTCGAATTGTCGTCCTATCTGAGTATGAAAGTGAAGGAATTGAGTGTAAATTTGTATTTACGTAGACACTCAGCCACCATAATTCTTTCCTGCGCAGATCGCTAGTCTCCGACAAGATTGGCCGTCGTAATGGAAATACTGTCTGGAGGATGTTATTCACTTGTATCCCCAATTCAATATGACATGGTCGCGCTTTTACTGACCTTATATAGGCCCTTTTCAATTGAAACATCTCAAAAGTTCGAGCACTTACCGATCTCAACCGACTAAGTGTAGAAAGTTCTCTCCTAGTTCTGCCACTAGATACAAGATGGCGCTAGAGGGTAAGTTCTAGCATGGAATTTTCTAGGAAGTTATCCTAATTCTGCTACTTGATACTAGATGACGCTAGTGACATTAATTATGGCTAACAACATTATTATTAAGAGTCACGTGCGAAATGAACCCGCGTCTTGCGTTTTAACTTAATCGCTTTATGGCTATCTTTGCGTTTAGTTACTGCGCTACCGGGACCATTATCAAAACTGATTGTTCAATATAAACATATAAAATAACTTAACACTAGAGTGCACGCGCGCGCTACATATGTAACCCAGCGTGTAATATTGACGTATATCATTTTAACTTGCCGCACTATAGCGCAATCGTCCAGGTGTATTCCTCAAGTATTACCCCCGCTACCGCCAGCAGCGTGCCGACTCCGGTGGCTCAAGGATGTCCGCAAAAATCGTCCTTGAAGTTGGTGGGCTACGCCTGTAGCCCGCGCGAGCGTTGGAGGAAAATAAGTGTTTAGTGTGCAAGTGGTGAAATTGAGGTAAATATGACACATTTCTTGCAGTATTACTACAAAATGTGCAGTTAATTAATTTTTAAGTGTTTGTTGTTGGTATTTGTAGATTTTTCATGTAGCTTTATACTGTTTTGTTCACTTTTTAGGTGACGAGTAACTCGATCAGATTGTGCGACTAAATACAAAGATGGTTGCTGGAGGATAATGAATACGACGACATTCGGAGCGGGTATTGTTATTGTCTACCCTCTACAATGATGACAAAATTGATGCTGCGACTGGCGATGCTAGAAAACCTGAAATCATCACATTTTATAATCACGTAAATACGGCGTTGATATTTTTGATAAAGTGTGTAGACAATATAACGTTTCTCGCAACAGTAACCGATGGCCTCTCACGATATTATACAATTTTTTAAACATGGCGGGCATAAATAGTTTGGTGATATATCAGATGAACAACCATCAAATGGAATTCATCCGTCTTTAATATCTCCTAGATGTTGCATTTGATCTTGCACGACCTTCTATTGAGCGTCGTATAACCCAACAAAATATACCCAGAGGTATTAAACTGAAAGGCAGACTACTTCTAAGATTGGCAGAACAACCCCTACAACAAAATATGCCTCTGGATCGATGTGTTTTTACAGCAGGGCTCGTGACCGTAGCACGCGCTAACAATGCAGCAAATGTATGAGGCGTATTTGTGACGAACATCAGGCAGTCGTGTGTCTTGAATGTAGGCCAATAGACTGATTTTTTACCCGTTACTTTGATTATAGACTCAATTAGGCCAAATAAATGCCTTAAATGATAAATATTATGTTCTTAAATGAAAATATGACTTAGTGATATCAACCCTTCCAAATATTTGTTGATTTCTAAGAGGTTTACGTTTAAGTTTCAAATTATATTAATTAATCAAAATTTTGTTGATTTTATAAAGCAATTTGATAAAAATAAAGATGTTTAGTAACTACGTGCTGTGTTTTACTCATTATTTTGTTTTATTCAGAGAAAAAATTGATCTGCAACTGGTCTACACCTATAGCCCGCGCGTGCGCTCAAGGAGTATTTAAGGGCGCGTGAACTCTAGTGTTAAATCAAATGTATATATATGTATAGAAGTAGTAGATAATAAGTCAATCATAGGATAAAAGTTAAACGATTTGTACAAAAATGTCTACAAGGATTGCAAATTAATGTTTCAAATCCTAACGATTTATTTTACTATTTATAGAAAACGACGGATAAATTAACAAAAGAAGTTCGGTGATATAATTAGAGAAATAATAATCTCCGCATCATAGAGACATGCCATTATATAATACTTAATATGGTACGTTCACATACTAAATCACCGTCAATCAACCTATAAAGGTCCAATCCTATCCGTTTATGAAATAATTTCAAATAAAATTTGTTATATTATTGAGATTTGTATACAGATTAAAATAATAGTTATCGCGGGTTATTTATATTACTAAACTTAAGTATATTGCAGGACTGAAGCAATCAAATACATAGGTATTTGAGCATTGAAAAACTGAAAGCTTAATCACACAAAAGTTTAATTCATATCTATTCCAACTATGTGGCCTTGGCTATATACTAGCGTTCATTTTTAATAACTATGTAGGTTTTTATTTTATGCGAAAAGCGGTATATAAAGTAGTCAGTATAGAGATGAGACTTAATTTACATTTTTCAACTGTGTTGGATCCAGTGCGGACGGGATCTCGGTTTCGTACGACTAAATTAACTAACTTCCTAAAAATATTTTGAATTCCATAAAAAAATGAAAATTGAAAATCAAGTAGCGGTATGTATTTTAGTAACGATAAGTGGTTCTTTATATTTATTTAAGCATAATCATTATAATTATTACTCCCCAACAAGTCCACTGCTGAACATAGGTCTTCTCCATTAAGCATCCTTGAGTTTCCTCATACCCCATAAGCAACAATATCTCGTAGGTACATATTATTTAATATCTTAATACTTTTTAAGTTAGTACCTAGTTATTAATCGAGCAAAAATATAGCAAAGTTACGTTCCATATACGTCACAGTGCTGAGCATTGTTCGCCACTAATTTTTTTAAAGGTTAATAAGAATATAGTCCAACGTAATATTCCAGTGCATGTTCATCAACTTAATATATTCTCCATATATTTTTGTCCCAGATATGCATGTTTTATCATGATATTTCTCATAAAAAAAGAAAAAAGACCAGAGCCGAAAATTACAATTAACAATACTTGAAAAACAGTTTAATTTGTACCGGGGGGGGGGGGGGGGGATGATAGAACTGTTACGCCTAATTATTTTTCCTAAAGAAGTTATATTTTTTATTTTTTATTATTCATTATTATTTCTGAATAATAATAATTTAATTTCATAATTACGATAATACAAGATTAATTTATTGTATGTCTTCAGGACAGAAATTTACATTTGTCGCAAAATGTAGGAAAACTTCTAAATGTAACACCTGATGATAAGGACGCTGTATTGAGACATTATAAAATATCATCAAAAGGGCTGCAAGAAATTGTGAATTCAATACAAGAATGGTATGGAAAACAACTTCATCTACCTCGAGGGCAATTAGGTAAGGAATTTCGTTGTGATTCTAATTAAGTAATATTTGTTTCCGAAAGTAAATAAAATTAATATGTTATCCAAATCATAAAATTGTACTAAAAAGGAGAAAATTACATATTAATTTGCTAATTACAACATTTTTTTGTAAGAGGCCGTATGTCAAAAATACATATTTATCAAAAACTTTATTTTTTTAATAGAGTTTGATGAAAACCAATTTAATAATTTGGAAAAAGTTGTACAAAATCCAAAAGAAAGATACATGAGAAAAAAGGATAAGTGCTTAAATGTCATTAAAATATTGTTGCGTTTATATCTAATAGGTACATAGTTGAACTTTTTAACTTAACGACAGTGAATACATTTTCTTAAATGCCAAAAAACCCATAAAAAGATACAATATAGCCAATCGACAAAGAATGAAATAAATTAAATAACTGGTTTACATATTAGATACTCGTAATCCAACCTGTTTCACAGCGAATGATTCAATCCTGCTGATTTTTACTATTATTGTACGTTTTAAATAATATAATGAAAAATTTTGTTAATGAAAGCCCTTCTTCCTCTTTTTTTTCTTAAGTCGCTTGCTGACTAACTATAAAATTTATATAACCGTGTGGTGGCGGTGTAATACTGCGTACAGACTTACGTAACGTAACATACACTGGAACATGAAAGGAGCATTTCATCAGTGTGGATGCAGCGTGCTCACGAACTGAATATCTATGTACTCTCATCTATTCCTGGCGTGTGCCTGAAAAGAGAATGTGTCCATCTGGTTTAGTTCATGTTCATGTGCGTTTTAGCACAACCCGTCCACACTGGCACTCCGATGACACTGCGCGTCCCTTTGTGTTGTTCTGCGACAACATGTATAGGGTTCGCTGGGCGTGCCTTGCCACCATTCGGAATCGCTCGCCCGAATCCTCTCACTTCGGTACAGTGTCGGTTTTTCTGCACAAATCAAAGGCACTTGCCTGCACTTGGCAAGTTGTGTCCACATGTTAGTCGGCCATGTCGGTTGGGGTTTGGCCAACATGTATTGTCGGCTTAATACTCTTAGCGTGCATTCGCGCGTGCAAGTCGTCCAGTCTATGAAATTTTTTACTGTTTTACATTGCATGCTACTTTACTCTAATGTGAATGACCATTTCTTTCATATCACGTTACATTGCATGTTACGTTGCGAAGTCTGTACGCAGCATAAGAATATCCACTACCCCATGTAGTCCCGAGGATGTCGTGAGAGGTGACAGAGGGAAAGTGAAACAGAAACGAAAACGAAATCGGCAGCAGCATATTCCTGTTAACTATTCAAAATAATAAAATGCGGCTGCAAAACCTTGCTAAGTGTGGCAACTGTGACATGATTCTCTTATAAATTTATGATGGATGCCTATCTTCAGCTGTGGACTTTTATAGGTTGTATGGTATGACCACACTGATTAGGGTGATTCGTACAAGTTTAGCAAATGTGGTTGGTGGATTTCCGTGCTAATGGAATCTTTACCTTTACAATAGTAATATTCTACATCACCAGCCCATGAAATTAGGTTTCAGCGTTTAAAATGTTTGGTTTTGTAGAAGTACGATAATCAATCATCAGCAGGGTGCCTGAAGGTGAGGTTTAGTTTAAATAGGGTGTTAAAAAGTACAATAAGGGTGGCAAAAGAGTAAAAACGAACTAAAGTACGAAAATTCAGCATCCCGTAAGTTACGCAAGAAAAAGTTAGTGTCAAAAATCTATGAATGGCGCAGATAATGAGTAACAATAAAAAAACACCGCTAATAAAATACTCAATTCGATGAAGGAGAAATCGTTGCTAGAGTACAATCGTGTGCATATTTTTTCAACTTACTTATACCTAAGTTGTACTATTTTGAGGGGCGCGATGCGAACGGGGACACGTGTATATTTTGGAATAATGTTATTTTATTATTATATTGCTATCTTTGATTACAATTTAATTACTTACTTTTCCTAGTGGTTTTATAAACCATTTTTTACTTATTATAAGCCGGTACTTGGCTACAATCCCACCTGGTACACCACCTGGCGGTAAATGGTGATGAAACCTTAGATGATCAATCACAATATCTTTGTGTACAAAAGCCTATTATTGTCTCTCTCCTTGAAGACATAAAGATTGTAATCGGACGGAAAAATTGACGCCGGCAGATCATTTTACTTCTTTGCTGTATGCATTACGAAGTACAAAGAAAACTGTTTGGATATTATTGTTCGAATATCAACGATAGCGAGATCAAGACCTGCCTTACCCCAATGTGGAAAAATACTGTTCTATGGTGGAAATGGGAGGGAAGAATAAAGGCATGCCGTTTCTACACACACTCCAAAATTCATCTTATATAATACGGAGAGCATGGCTATTCTGCGCTTGTGCTCAAGAATAACAATATCAGTTTAAACCAAATTTGGTTTAGTAAGTCCGACATATATGGCATTTTGCAGTATATGTGGTGAAAGTACTCAATGCAAAACCAGGCTGGGGATTTATCATAATCTGAAACGCTATCCCCGCCGACGTGAAGTACCGCCGCCTCCTGACAAGGACTGTCAGTTTACTTGCGGATACTTTTCCCTTGGCTTAATGAACCATCCTTCTTTGATGTTTGGAGAAATCTCAAACCATAACAACAGAAGGAGATGTACTGTGAAGGTATATCTCGAAAAGTAGGAACCAGGGTGAGCGGACTTTTTTTAGTGATGATTGGACATGCTCGTATTTTGGAGGAATAGAATGTCATTAGTGTGATATCAGCCCTTTATTTTCATTAAGTTATGGCTTGTAATGCATTTGAGCAAAAGTTATCATTTACACATCATGGTCGTGAATATGGTTTTCCGAATTCAATATGGGAGGGTTGAATTAGGTATGGTTTTTTAAGGGCCTAAACAACTAAAATATTATACATAGCACGACCCTTAAGATGGAAAATTAGTTACGCCTCTTCATTAGCCGAATATTTCGAAGTCATTAAAAGTCGTCTTTAAGAAAGCCACTTAGAGAGTCAGTTTTTCGCAAGAAACTAACGTAATATACTTTTTGTAAACTTATGTGGCAAACGAACTCACGATTTAACCGGTGGTAAGTAGCTACAGCTGTACATTGATACATGCAGTCAACTTTAAACAACAAGTATTTTAATATGTCTATGTATTAATAGTTGCAAGTGTTTTTATAAGGATGCAGCTGATTATATGTTTAATGACCTAATAATTGTTCAAGGATTGCATCTGGGAAATAATGGAAGGAGACAAAAGTTTTGCAATTTTACTGTATAAAAGAGAACCCAAAATTAGACCATGTTTCTTCGAAAGAAGTTATGATTAATATTAATATACATATAGTACATAATGCGTATAGCCTGGGGCATAAAGACATGAGTTTTGAAATCTGAAAATATGTTCAAGTTTGAAGAGATGCTGGTCATACATCTTTGCATTTAAAAAAAATAGATTACACCCGAACAAAATTTAACTTCAAAACTTTAATACAAATCTTCTAAGTGATACCCCTAGATCGCGTGGACTGCGTTCAATTATTGAATCGGCAAATTTTTCAATACTTCCACTTGAAACCACCCATCATAATCTTACCACTGAGGATACTTTGTTATATTTGATATTAGTCTCCTCAGAAGAATGTGTTGCGTGCCACGGACAGTTCCCTGCTCCTGGTTTCTCGGGACATGATTTACTGTTCATTTCCTATAAAATCAAACCTCCTAAAGTAAGGCCAGTAATAGTGCGTCTGCGTAATTTTGCTAGGGTAAATGTAGGAACGCTCCAACATGATGCTTCGCTTTTAGACTGGAGCGATACATTTAATGCAGAGAGTATTGATGACAAGATTACGACATTTAACTCTAAGCTGTTTGAAAAACACGCACCTATTCGTGAGGTTAGGTTAAAGCGCGCGCCTGCGCCATGGATTAATGAAAATATCCGTAAGACCATGTATAAGCTCAATCAGATGTTCAGGAAATTTAAGCAGAACCGTTGTGAACTCAATTGGGAAAAATTCAAAGCTGCGAGAAATCGATGTAATCAGATGGTACGATCTACTAAACGCCGCTATATTCACCATAATATCATGAACTCTTCTATGGCTAATACATGAAAATTTCTCTGGACGATCGGGGTAGGTAAACCTACGTGTAACGTGGACCCTGCAATCATTTCTATACGTGATCTAAACTTAAATTTTTCTTCAACTACCCAAATGGAGGCTTCTGTTAAATCAAGTACTATTTATTATTTGAATTCCATGCCACAATCTCGTAACTGCACATTTAATTTTTCTCACGTTGCTGATGAGGATATAAAAAAGATCATCTATTGTATTAAGTCTATGGCAGTTGGCTTCGATGATGTGAATAGACTTATGATCACCTTAATTCTAGACAATGTTACTCCTGTTATTACTCACATCATTAATAATTCACTATTGACTGGGGATTTTCCTACTTTTTGGAAAAAAGCATTTGTTATTCCGCTGCCCAAAATAAATAACCCCAGTTCTTTCTCTCACTTTCGCCCAATATCTATTTTCTCTTTTTATCTAAAGTTCTTGAAGCTATTGTCCACAAACAAATTTCTTGTTACATTTTTAAAAATAATTTTCTTAGCACATTTCAATCTGGTTTTAGGCCTGGGCACAGTACAACCACAGCTCTTTTGAAAGTTACAGAAGATTTTCGTACTGGAATGGAGAACTCAAAATTGACTGTGTTAGTCATAATAGATTTCTCTAACGCTTATAACGCTGTCGATCATGATATTCTCCTAGCTGTACATTGTCACCTATGTTTCTCTTCTTCAGCACGGGACTGGTTCTCCTCGTATCTTCGGAGATCGTCAGCAGGCTATTCAAGTAGGTCAGATCGTCTCTGATTGGTGCTCGTTGTCTGCTGGCGTTCCTCAAGGCGGAATTCTCTCTCCTCTCCTGTTCTCAGTCTTTATAAATCTCATCACATCCCACATTCGCTGTTCGTACCATCTGTATGCTGATGACTTACAAATTTATGCTCAAACTGAGGTGGCAGGTATCGATGATGTGATTAAGAAGCTTAACTGCGACCTTAAGAGTATTTATTATTGGTCAGACAGATTTGGTACGTGGTAGAGCCATGCTGCAGTTATATTAGTAGTATAGTTGTAGCACGAATGGGTCGGCTCGACCGGGGAAGGACCACGCTCTCACAGAATACCAGCGTGAAATAGTAGCTTAATGCTGCTATATTTCGTATGGTGAGTGTAGAGAACCGGAGACCCTTTTTACTGGAAACGAGGCATTCCATCTCAGTCCTCACGGGTGACAACGCATCTGCATTTTGATTTTTAATGGAGAATAGATGTAGATGTCTATGGGCCGCAGCAACCACTTACCATCAGGTGGACTGTGTGCTCGTTTGTCACCCTATTCTATATAAAAAAAAAAAGATTTGGTATTAGGGTTAATCCATCAAAGTGTCAGGCTATTGTGGTTGGTAGTTCTCGTAGATTGTCTAAAATTGATATGAAGGTGCTACCTCCTATAATTTTTAATAATGTACTATTCCTTACTCAATAACTGTTAAAGATCTTGGCTTAGGTATTGACAAAACCCTCACTTGGCGACCGCATATATATGAAGTGAGCAAAAAGGTCACTCACACTTTGCGTTATCCGTATCGTCTCAAGAATTTTTTACCGTTAGGGACTAAGGTGATGCTAATACAGACTCTAGTGTTGCCTATTTTAGATTATGCAGATGTTTGCTATGCTGATGCCTCGTAAGAACTTATAAACAAACTGGATCGACTTCTTAATAATTGTATACGCTTCATTTTCGGTTTACGGAAATACGACCACATCTCCTCTTATCGTTCTCAGCTTAAATGGCCACCTCTCCGCTATCGCAGATATTCCAGAATACTGTGCACATTATTTTTAGTTTTACATGATCCGTTTGTCTCTAAATACTTAAAATGCACATTTCAGTATCAGGGTGATTCTCGTAGTCACTGTCTCCGTTCTGCGGAAAAGTCTAATCTCCATGTCCCCCTCTGTCACACTAGCTTCTTGTATAAACCTTTTACATCTCACGCGTTAGGATTGTGGAACGAGCTACCGAGCAGTGTACGTGCAGCCACGAGCAATGCATCGTTCAAACGCTTGCTATGGAATCATTTTCTGGCGTTGCAGGAGTAGTTTGTCGATTAACATTTTTTATATCCTTAAATTCTAACTGTTCCCTTTTCCTGTTTTTATTTCAAATATTTTATAGGTGTTTGAATCAGAAACAGCTATATTTAATTATATATGTACTATATATATCGCATATTAGGGCAGCATTAAGCATAATATATATGTATATATTTATATATCTTGTATGTATATCTATATAATAATATAAATTATGTATAATTATGTTTATAACATGCAATGTAATGTGTATGACTACTTAAAGATGTTTTAACTCAGTTGCACTTTGCACCCACAATTATATCTTCTCTGCTTAGCCTGGAGGTAGACTGGCAGAGAATGCCTTGTTGCATTAAGTCCGCCTTTTTGTACTCGGTGTGCCAGTAAAACATAAAAAAATAAATAAATAAAATTCAATTAGTGCTAGATCTACAGCCATAAAGACAACAATTTACATCATATTTTTGTCGAAAACGATGTTAGAGCGTTTTCAGTGTCTAAACAATAATCAATTTTAGATGAAATCTATTTTCATATACATAAATGGATACGTCAAAAAACAAAACGGTCGTTATTGCGTAGCAGAAAATCTGAAATCTGAATATCAAAATGACCACATTTCATCCTACGATATAATTGGCTTACGATATAATTATCGAGGCTAATTGATGACCGTCAATTCTGAGTGATATTTAACAACGTTACGTAATTTTTCCCACAATTGCGTTTTGAAGCTTATCAATACAAGATAGCACGACATGCCATAGTTCTAATAAACCATTCGTGAATGGACTGTCTGCAGGAAAACTCATAAAGCACCGAAGGGATGTATATATCATAGCCTCCCAGGAGTCCTGACCTGACTTCACTTTATTGAAGTTTACATCGACAAACTAACATAAATTGTTCATTTTAAAAAGAAATATTCAGTGCCACAATTGTTTACAATTTTAAGAGTCAGATTATAGAGTGCTTGCAATGAGACAATTAAAGTAATTAGCATAAATTAAGTTTTATTTAGTTTAATATAATATATTTATTTCCATGATTTAAATAGATTTTTAAATATCTTTTTCATATTTACTCATATAAACGACCTACCTTGTAGCTATTTAATAATACATACGAGAAAGAAGTCATTTACATTTTATGAACAATTTTTATGGAAAGATTCGTTCGGAATACCTGAAAATACACAAAGGCATTTTTTCCACTTTCCTTTGATACCTTAAACTTCCTTCCAAAACATGATCCTTATTAGCAACATTATCTCCTGTATATTATTGGTTGTCCTTTTTATAAAATAAATGAACGTGTGTTTTGGATATTAACGTATGTGGATTTGCTACATAATAAATTATGATATATTTTTATTAAATGTTTGGTTGCAGATTACATCAACACACCAACATCTTTATGAAATAAATATTTCTCAATTGTTTTAGATGACAAAATAATAGTTCAACATTTGATTTTAAAAGGATTTAACATGGAGGAGGTGAAGGATAAAATTGATAACTTTTTCTCAGCTAAACATAAAATGCCTGAAATTTTGCTAAACAGAGACCCTTTTTCACCGGACATTGATAGATATTTAAAATTTGCGTTTTGTGTAATATTACCGAAGAAGACACCTATGAATCACCGAGTGTCTATTTTTAGGTAATATTTTTGTCAGTACTAAAATCACCAGTATTAGATATACCTCCATACTCGTACAAATATATTACTGTAATTATAATTGTAAATAAACGATATAATAATAATAATAACGACAGCCTCAACGAAGCTTAGCCATCGATGCAGGGCAGGACTATAGTGTCCAAGTGTATGCGTAAGCACAGGTACACTCTCTTTTCCTTTACTCTCATAGACCGATGGGACGGTAAATTGACGTGACCAGAGAGAGATCAGGCACAGGACGAACGGCTTTACGTGCTTTCCAATGCACGGGATGAGGTATATCGCCAACATCCTGACTCCGGGCAGCTACTGAGAATTTCTTGACAGAAAAACGCAATAATCGATTTTTCTGGCCCCACCCGGGATTCGCACCCGGGACCTTCACGATCGACAGTCGTGCTTACAACCACTAGATCACCGAGGCAGCCTAATAAATGATACAAATGTTTAAAGTAATATTAATATATTTAATTATCATTAAATTATACTGACTTATGTTTAATTAATAATTAAGTAATTGATGGGCGTGCATGGAAATGCTTAAAAAAGATTCAGCTTACGATCGTCGTAGGGGAATTATGAGTTTTTCCACCACTAAAATTGTATCTCAGTTTTTCATCGCTGAGGTCATAAGGGTATGGAATACATTACTCCCAACTTTTTAGCAAACTGACTTCTGAAGCTTTCTAAAGAATGTAGTGTCTGATCAACGTATTTCTTCTTCCTATATATATATATATATATATATATATATATATATATATATATATATATATATATATATATATATATATATATAATATGCGATAATGTTGTTAATATTTGTATTCTTAAAATATGTGTATTATGTGTTACTTAAAAATTTCGTTTGTTATTCATCAGGTATCAAGTACATTATTTATGTTATTTGTAGTAATATATTTTTGAAAGTGTATTTATATGTATGTTATGTATTTTTATATTTATAATACATTTTTTCATGTTTTTATGGAACTTGCTTAAGTTTCTCTGCATAGCTCGTAGTTGACTGGTAGATAATATCTAAGTCCGCCAATTATACACTTTATGTGCAATAAGATTATAAATAAATAAATCAAAAAATTATGTAAGTAATTTACAAAATACACAATCCACAGTGGCAATTCGAGCAGCTCCTTGTACGTTTACTCTTTTGCAGCGACCAATATTGGGGGTTGGGTTCGAAATTAAGTCGCCTGAATTTGAAGTTTCTGTCACTGTGTTGTTTGCTGCTGGAGCAGCGTTGAAGTATTTTTATTATTTTTTTAAAAATATTGGTAAATCACTAACTAATCATGAAATAGAACGTACATTTAAATAAACTCGTAAAATGCGTAAAATGAATCGCTAGGCCGGCTATTGTTGACAGCGAAAGATATACTTTACGTCATTCCGTTATTTCTGAGCTTACTTGAATGTGCTCCCTAAAATTTTTATCTGCCTCCACTTGTTTTTCGACGACTTCGCTACCCCTCTGGATCCAATGGATTTTACAAATGGCTGTAGCTATAAATTGTTTATAATTTAAAGTAATTATAAAAGTTAATATTTTGGTGTTGTTTTGGGGTAAGAGCGAGCGAAGCGAGCTCGGGGCTAAGGGCACCCCGACTCGGACATGTTGGGTTAGATGGGGATGGCGAGGTCGAGTGAGCGAGCGAAGCGAGTGAATAGACTACGCCATCCCCTTCGTGGTTATTTTTTATAGACCACTCAGAAGTATGAGCCCCGCGAATCGAAGCGGGTCTCCGTCGACCGGCTTTCTTCGACTGCGCTACGTTGAGTACCTTGGGGCTTCCTCCCCCTAATCTCTCCCCCCATAAATCACGTTTGGCAGGAGGGGAGTGGGGGCGATTCTTTAAATTACCCCTACCACTTAATTCAGGAGACTTAATTTCAAACCTTACCCTTTATCTGTGTAGAAAATTAAGTTAACGCTCCGAATGTAGATTGCCACACAAACACCCATTCCGCGTGGCAATCGATGCTGACGAAGATCGAAGCCAGTTTGCAGGCATACTGTGAAATTTACGGCCTATTATTACGGCCTATTAGCCCCTGCTCTTTATAGTACAGTAACACGGTTTAAAATTAATTAAGTATTGATTAAATCATTCACCATATTTTAACTATACCCTGATTTGTAGATTAGTAGTACAGTAGACTTTTACTTCTTTTTGTTTAAGATTGCAGAGGCCGTTCGACTTTATTGCTGTTGACGTAATGAAAATGGCTTTCATGTTGTTGGAATACCGAATGCGTAATGATATATCATTGGGGGAGCAATGGATCTTTGACCTAACAAATGTTTGCTTTCAAAACTCCGTTCAAATGACTCCAGTGTTAATGACAAAGTTTATATATTACGTGAGGGTAAATATCACTATGTTATAAAAAGTTTTCATAAATTATACCAGTTACTCAAGTAATTTTCAAACAGTATAACAATTTAATTATATTTTGTTTAAACTATTTTGTACGATATTATAGCTTAACAGTCCCATATTTGTTTGGGATTTATAACAAAAAAGAACGTGCCAACTGTGTTACTTGCCTAGCATATCTAACTTTAAAGTTAGTGTTGTTGCCAAATTAGGTTCTCTTCCTAGCTATACCAAACATTTTATGCAATGTGATTTTGTAGTAGCAGTGTAAGAATATCAACTACCCCATATTATCCCATGGGTGTCATAAGAGGCGACGGAACAAAATAGAAACCATTACTATAAAAATAGACAGAAAAAATTAGGAAATCAGCGGCGGCGTATTAACGGCTAAAAATAAATAACAGCAATTGTCAAAAGTGGCAACTATGGAAAATGAGGCAATCTATAACGGAGGCCTATGTTCAGCAGTGGAATTTAAAAGACTGTCACGGTAACGGTAAAGGGTGTGTTATGTGACATGATTGTTACGGTTTCTTTCCAGCATACTAACCTACATTCGATTTACTTATTTAAACATTACATGGGATACGGTTAAATAATAATTGGAGAATTATTGAGTAAAAACCACGATATAGATTGTTATAGCAGCAGCACGAATGGGTCGGCTCTACATGGGAAGAATCATGCTCGAACACAGAATATTAGCGTGAATTATCTTCTTAACAATGTTATCTTTCGTATAAGTGAAGATAGTCAGAGATCTTTATTTCTGGTAACCCGGTATTCTTTTTAGTCCTTAAGGATAACTATGCATCTGCATATTAATTCTTCATCAAGGATAGATATAGACGTATAAGGAACTTAGATTCCACTTAAAATTAGGTAAACTGGGTGGCCTTAAGTTGTCGTTACTTTGACGAATAATATTATCGTTTATTATTGTATTGTGAATTGAGTATATAGTTTATATCAATTATTTTATATAACATGAAAATAAACCTCGATCATAATGTAAAAATTTTGTCTGGTCGACGTTGACCAGTGACATTTCCAAATACACTCAGAACGTGTCAATTATGTTACACAATATTATTATAGTGTTGTAAGTGTCCATGCAAATAAAGGGCCCTATTCTGATCTAATCGAATAGAAATTGTTTGAGACGAGCGACATCACTTAAATGGCTAAATTGATACATAGTCAAAGTGACTAATAAAGCATTTAATTACTTGTGAAATCTTTAGATTATATAGCATAGATATTTTTCAATTTGTAAATTATATTTCTACACATTAGGTATATATTTTTTAGTTTTACTTTGGATCCAAAATTAAAGGCATACATCTTGTAAATATGCCATCTTTCGTAGCACCGTTATTAAATATTGCGAAGAAGGTCATGAAACCTAAAGTTGCAAAAAGAATATACGTATATAACAGCTTCAATCAAATATATCAGATATTGCCAAGAAATATTTTGCCCAAAGAGTACGGGGGGGATGAGCTCAGCTGCCAAGAAATAGCAGGTAACTTATGATTTTCTTATTTAACTGAAACTAGCATGCTATAGAGTCACCTTACTACATAAATAAAAATTTTATCATGTGAGTAAGCTTTCAAAGAAATAACGTTAAATATATTCAAATTAAATATTTCACAGACGAATGGAGAAAAGCGATACAAACTGATGCATGGAGAACATATTTTGCTGAACAAGACAAACTACTAAGTGATGAATCTAAAAGAACTAGTTCTTTAAGCTCTGATGACTTTTTTGGATGTGAAGGATCGTTCAAAAAACTGGAAGTTGATTAAGATATTTTTTAAGCAAATAATATGTACATTTTAAATACGAAAACGATTAGAAAAAATATTGCAATATCACTTATATTTATTTAAAAACTATTTAAAAGCGATACGAATATTCTTAATTACTAATACATAGTTTATAATTATGATTTAACTGATATACATAAGTCCAATTAATAAAATAGACTGGTAGATTCGTCCTCAAGTATCAATTCTTGGAAGATAGCTTTGGGCTCTCAAAGCAGAAATTTTGTAAAGGAGAATAGTAAATTTGTAGAAAAAAAACCAGGAATATAAAATTTGGGGCCTATATGTCGTCTAGCGGGTTTCAAATTCATAAGGCTATAATTAATATTATATGAAATATGAAAACTCCAGGTACGTAAAGTAAATGAAGAAAAATAGCTGTCGGTATTTCATGACGTTACTTAATCTTTTCATGTTATTGACTACGACTATTGGTATTGACTCTTTATTATTATCATCATCATCATTACAACCCTTCACAAGTCCACTGCTGAACATAGGCCTTCCCCAAAGTATGCCACAAAGCACGGTCCTGAGCCACCTGCATCCATCGACTTCCTGCATGTCTTACCAGATCATCACTCCATCTAAAGGGGGGTCGCCCTACACTTTGCCTACCGGTACGAGACTGCCACTCGAGAACCTTTTTTCCCCAACGGTTATCGGTTCTTCGAGCTATATGGCCGGCCCATTACCACTTCAGCTTACTAATCCGTTGGGCTATGTCGGTCACTCTGGTTCTACTGCGGATATCCTCTTTTCTAAGTTTATCACGCAGATAAACTCCGAGCATAGCCCTCTCCATAGCTCGCTGAGCGACTTTGAGCGTCCTCACACGGCCAGCAGTGAAGTACCACGTCTCAGTTCCATAGGTCATCACCGGCAACACGCACTGGTTGTACACTTTAGTTTCAGATTGAGGTATACCTGACGAAAAGATGTGTCGTAATTTCCCGAACGCTGCCCAGCCGAGTTGAACCCGTCGATTGATCTGTCGGTCGAAGTTTGACTTACCTAGTCGGTCTATTTGTCCCAGGCAAACGTCAAACTCGTCAACAACTTCGAGCTAAGTGCTCCCAACCATTACGGGCATAGGTATGATAGGCATGTTCAACTTAATCATTACATCTGTATATACTTTGTTATTTAATAGAATATAATCTAATACTTCGGATATTTGCAACATGTACTATTAGTACTCGTAGTTGTTAGGTTTGTAGATTAATTTTCCCATATTTTGCACGGTAAGTTCTTATAGCAATTGCTACATTCTGATCACATTCTACGTAGATTCAAATTATAACAGCATTATTATCTGTCAAAGTGTTATAACAATACAGAAAAAAGCATATGTCAAATAAAAAATTGTCCTTTCTGCGGTAAGTCTAGTCTTAACAAAACTAACTTACTAGCCTTAACTAAATTCAATTAAATGCTATTGAAACACAAATAATCAAAAAACTATTAACTTAGGGCTCATAACTGAAATCAGTAGATTAGGTACCTAATTATTACGTCGGCTTTGCAAAAATACAATTTAAATATTGGGTCACAGTTAGGTTTCATTGGGTCACCGTCAAATCACTGAGTAAAATGGACAGTGACAAATCCCCGGGTGCTCCCCGCGCGTATTGTAGGACGCGCGGCTCTTTTTAGTAAAAATTTGGCAATGCTGTATACGTTATTTTCTTTTAATTCGTACAAATAAAAACATTTTCTTTCTCTCTTTAATTTCATTAATACGTTTTATTATTCGTGACCCCGTAAATTACTCTTAGTTTGCGATTATTAGAAAATTAAAGGTTGTTCCAAAGTTTTTCACTGACAAAATATTGATTGTTATCTCTATAAATATTCACGAATTATGTATAAATGTTATAGTCGTAATGATGTTTATGTATGTCGAATATCTGATAATGAACCGAATATGTGTTTTCGCTTAATGTAGTTGATAGAGCAATACGATGTAAATTACCCACTTGTTACTCCAAATAATTATTTATTATCGGTGTGTAAATGTTGTTTTTTTTTATTATCTTTGTTACTACTACTAATATACTTACTGGAGATAATCCAGTAAAGTATATTCTACTTAGATTAGGTTAATAATTTTGTTCAGGTTTACGTAATTAAAAAAAATTGTCTTCTATCTTCCACTGTTAGGTCCACTGATAATCAGCATTTTTGATTTACCAACTTCAAAACGTATCATAAAATTGAGGGGAGATAATGTTGTTCATCAGTATTATAACCATCAGCAGCGTGCAGCAGACATCTTCTGGACCTGCTTGCAGCAGATTTTCACGATTAAGTGATGATTTGTCCGTATCGTCACTCCTGGCACTTGGATTGAAGATAGCAGTACAAGATATTTCGCATCTTTGATTCTGCTGCCCGTCGCTGTTCTAGTTATTTTACAACTGACACAAACGATGTTGTTGTGTCATCAATTATAGAAAGCACTACTTGTAAAATTAAAACCATGTGTAAACCATGGTTTTAGCGGTCTAAATTTTTAGGTAGCTCTTTGATGACTGTATGATTATTAACTACAGTTTTTAATTTTGTCAATAACATTTCTGCAGCAATATTTCCATCAATTGTATTAAAAAGTTTTGCGACGATCCAGTTGACAGATAATTATTTATAGCATCATAGTCAGTATATTTTAATTTTAAAAGAGTACTATTTAAGAGTGGTTTTCTGAGATTTTACGAATAGCAAAATTGGGGTATTGTCTGTTAACGGGACAAACACAAAAGTACCAGAAGTATTAACACTTTTAATCATAAAGTGATCGATGCATAAGTGATCAATAAGATGATGTTTAACATCAAGTAAATAGCTGATGGGATTTTTATAGAATTGTTGATATTTATTTAATTTCAATTGTATCCTTATGTATAATAACAAAATGGTTTCTATTTAACTACACTGGTTGTTACAAACTACATCAAATTGATAATGTAAGTAATATAGTTGTTGAAAAGCCTTTCCAAGTCGTTTTCTAAATGTGGATATAAGACTTTATGAAATTGCCAATAAATCATGAGAGTCTAAATTATATCTTACTAAATCCGGTTTAGCAACATTTGCCACGTCATGGTTTATTAATACTACATTCCTTTATTTTATCTTTTATGTCTGTAATATATCCACACGTGTAAGATAGATATTGAACACATGCGCTCGTATACAGGCAACGTGGCTTATTAAGCAATAATAGAAACTCGATCATTGCCAGTTTTTTCTTTTTTTTTTTTTATAGGATAGGGTGACAAACGAGCACACAGTCCACCTGATGGTAAGCGGTTGCTGCGGCCCATAGACATCTACATCTATCCTCCATTACAAATCAAAATGCAGATGCGTTGTCACCCGTGAGGACTGAGATGGAATGCCTCATTTCCAGTAAAAAGGGTCTCCGGTTCTCTACACTCACCATACGAAATACAGGCAGCATTAAGCTACTATTTCACGCTGGTATTCTGTGAGAGCGTGGTTCCTTCCCCGGTCGAGCCGACCCATTCGTGCTACAACTATACTACTAATATAATTGCAGCATGGCTCTACCACGTATACAACGTCTACCACGTATACTCTACCACGTTTAAAATAATATTTGAAAAAAAAGCTTATTTTTTTCTAATGTCAAAATTATATAACGTAATTTTAAACAGAGTATTTCAATCAATCATTACCATGTTTAACGTAAAACTACTAAGTGTAGTAAAGCTTTTATTATGTATGAACAGTTCATTGGCTCTATCGTCGGAAGCCTTGAGAAAAGTTATTTATTTACATCATTGTACAAATTTCTAAAACAAAATAATTACCTAATCACTATAAATAACAAAATGTATTTAATAAAAATATTATACAGAGATAATATAAAAAGCTTTTTTTTTTTTTGCAGAAAGGCCACCTTTTAGGTCTTACTCTAATTATCCTATGCTTCATACGGTAAGACAATATTCATCTTTTTCTTTATTGGCCTTTTGAATCCACTGTTTAATAAAGGCCTCTTCAAGAATGTGCTAACTAGTGTGCATCGCTTAAAATATTTGTTTATAACCCACCTTGCGAGGTAGCCAGACTTTCGCACTGATAATGCTGCTTACCATAGGTAGTCTGTAAGATTTAAGTACGTAACTTTCACAACTTAAAACTAACAGTGGTAGAGCCACGCGGCAGCTTTCGCTGTCGCATGGATGGGCTGGCTCGAACCGGGATAGTACCACGGAATACCAGCGTGAAGTAGAGATTTACCTCTGTGTTTTACTTGGTAAGTGCAGATGGCCGGATGCCAAATCCCCCCTCCCTTAAAATGGTAGCGGAATATAAAAAAACTACCCCAGGAGGGTACCATCACACCTGGTGATGGACTCCTGGTGAATCGCTCGCTGAGCATCTACGACCAAGTTACCCTACTCTTCCTAAGCGTGGGTGCTCAGGCTGGCCCGCGTATTCTAGGGGAGGGGGCAATTCAGCTCGCAACGGAAACTGCTCGGGGCAAGCGGAGCAACAACACCAAGGGAACTCCTGCCACGCTTTCCGTGAATTTTTGTAACATCAGGGGACTTCATTCCAACCGTAACGCCGTCCACTTACAACTGAGGATGACGAAGCCGGGCTAGCTCTTTTTAACCGAAACTCATATATGTCCTCTCCAGCGGATACTTTATATCTCCCCTACCCGGGTTACAAATTAGAACACTTCTTTGTGCCCCGAGCTGGAGTTGCATATACGTCGGAGAGGACATCTGTTTTCGACGCCTCGGCAGTCCCGAAGGTACGAACCTATCCATCCTATGGATGCGCGTAGACAGTGACGAACATCCCCGCGTCTATGGTGGCCTATATAGGTCCCATAGCGGTAATGCTGAAATAGAGCGACTTATTGACCACGTTCCTATGGCTACAGATTGCGCGCTACAGAAAATCCCTTCCGCAGAGATCGTGATCCTTGGCAATTTTAA